CGAGACCCGCTGTTCCGCAGCAATCACTTCGGAGACATTCATTCTTTGGCTTTGACAGAGAACGACGAAAAAGCACAACATGGTGAAAAGAGCAGGAGTCCAGCTCAGCTGCCCTGATCTGCGACCGGCTGACGCCATGACACTTCTTCTTTCTTGTTCTTGTTCTTGTTCTGCAAACGCAGCCCACAAACCAGATGATTGAGCAGTTGCCCCTCTCTCAAATCTAGGCTTTCTACACCAACGAAAGACGAGCTTGAGCGCAAACTCGGTGCCATGCGTGCTTCTTTGTTTGCTTCATGTTCAGTGTTGGTATCGCTGGTCGGCGTGGGCGCTCTTGCGCGGAAGTCTAACTTCGCTGAAGCACCGATTCGGCGAGTCATCGCCACTGAACGATGAAGAGTCCCGGCACCGCCGGCACCTCAATGGGGAAGTCGAAGGCAATCTCCTTGAAACAAAAGGTGCCAATCTGATCGAAGTGCGGATAAACGTAAAGAATGCCGTGCACCGCCGGTATCCTAGGGCGGTGGCCGTCGCAGCTGTCAACACGGTCCGTACGTAGCTCGCAAGATCTTTTCTCGATGGGAGGTTCTCGCAGTTGGCGAGAAGCAGCTCCGATCTTGAAGAGCGCGCGTGCAAGGAAGCCTCGACCGCTTTCTGCAGGCACGATAACCCGTAACAACCCTTTCTTTCTTTTTTTTTTTTTTTTTTTTTGTGGGGGGGGGGGGGGGTTTAGGAGTACAGATATAACGAAGAAGCGGATATAGCAAAGTGATTTCCAGTCCCGTTGATTTCGTCAAACTGATCTCGACAGTATCAAAAAGAAGTATGCCCGAGGAAGATCTTCCCCTAAATGCACGACTCAGGATAGACATGCCCAGTTAAGTATTGCAAAGATTAAATTCCAAAGGCGTTCCTTTGAAAGGCAGCTATAATTTTTTCCTTTCTTCACTTCAAGCACCTGGCACATGGCTCATCTCGGCGAGCCGTCGCCAAGAGCTACTGTCACAGCCTCTCATTTGCCAGCCAGGGTGTGCAGGAGACAAGTCAAGGACTGCGAGAAGTCCTAACACCATCGTACATGCATGCCCGAACTGAAGAGGTGTGAAGAGAAATTACAGATGCTTTTAATGACCCCCGAAAATTTCCAAAACTCTGCACGTGCGACTGACGGTAAACACAATGCACTGGAAGCTTGTGGATCGGCAACCATCAACTACAAATAAACGCACAGCATCATCCTTTTGGCAGTGGGTAATGCTCATTACAAATTTTTTATGGTTGACATTGGCGAATTTGGCTCTTGCAATGACAGTGTCCAGACAGTACCTCATTGGCCAGAAAATGTCAGGTACTCTCCAGCTTCCTTGTCATCCACGAAAAATACCTTTCGTGTTTCTAGTTCGAGACGAGACATTTCCCCTTATGGAGAAGTTCACGAGAACTTATCCGAGCCGAACCCCGACACTCCTGGAACATTGTTTCAGCTAAAGGCTGTCGAGGGCTTGACGCATTTCTGAAAATGCATTTGGCATTTTAGTTGCACGGTGGAGGCTTTTCCAACAAACAATTCAGGCAAACCTCAAGGCAGTGGATAACCTTCCGTGCTCTAGAGTATTGCTTCACAACTCTATGAGAACATGCAACAACGCCAGGTGCGCCCCGTGAACGAATCCGACGACAACTTTCCAGACGGGCAGTCGGAGACAAGTGCTCGTAACTCGGGCCTTCGAAACCTAAGGCCATTGAACGGCAAACGTGAGTCTCCAAAAGCTAATGATGTTTGTCTAGCTTTTAAACCCATTTCTGGTTGGCGGCTCTGGAAGCGCAGTGGCAGCATAAGACGGTGACCTGTGGATCTCGCCGCAACACGCTTTGAGAAGTTTAATGCACACATTATTCTTTCTTTCAAGCTCTCTTTACCACTAACATAAATGTGAGTCCCTTCACTCCATGTTGTAACCAGCCCAAAAAATGTGATAAAAATGTTTCCGCACTGGGGCACGACGGGGACCTTTCTTCATCCCTTCAGACATGGCTAGAGCCCTGCATAACCACGGATTATCCGCGGATATCCGCAGTAAACGGGCGGATGCGGATAAAAATTAGACAAATTTTGGCGAATTGCGGATCGGATGTCAGGGGCTGCGGATGCGGATATCCACAGATCCGGATCTAAATTTTTACCCGGTGGCATTCAGTTCGTCGGCTGACGTTTCATCAACAGACCATTTCGTCGACATGCGACGTTTGACTGGAAGGCTTCCCGTGTTTGTTTCATCGTAAAACATGAGACGTTTCATCGCACACAGCCGTGCTATTTTCGTAACAAACTTTTTGCGTCTTGCCAAGAGGGAGGGGGGCACGGTTTTGTTAAGCACGCCTTAATGAATCACGCGCTAGCTTTTAGCGGCTTAGTGAAGAAGTGCGTTGTAGACAAAACATCACAGGGACATGGGCCCACAAAACGTACAGCGTGTCCATAAAATGTATGTCCATGAAAAGTTGTCCACGAAACGTGTTTCCACAAAACGCGTTTCGAAGAAACGATAGGAATCCTAAGAAAGATGTGATTCTGACTGAAAATCCCTTCAGTTAGCGTTCCATCTCGTCAAAAATGCTATTTATAGAAAAAGTAAAGAATACATGGTGGCAATCGTCTCCAGAAAGCTAGTACACTGGCAGGGAAAGAGCGGAAAACTTTCTTTTGGAAAAGAAAACCTCAAACGTAAAAGTCAAAAGAAAGTAGAAGAGACCTCCCCCTCTCCACAAAGAGTAGTGTGGTCATGATTACAAAAACAAAACAAGTGCCCCGACGGCGAGCGCGACCCTGTGGTGCCACGGTTTGTAAACTTTCGGAATCAACAGCCCACGCATATAGGAAGCCCATGAACTGCCTGTGTGTTTCTTTTTTGTATGCTTAGAGTCCTAGCCAAAAAGTCTGGTAGTTAATATTCGTCCAACTGCGCCGTAGCCAGACGACTATGAACCTCTCTTACTTTTTAATTGTTTGACGGAACGACAGGACGAGCGCTGACTAACGACCGATTCCAAAACACGTGCGGGAAGGTATTTATCGGACAGACGGGGCAGTGCCTCAACATTTGCCTGCGGGTGCACCGGAGTTCTTTAACAGAAACAGGAAGCTCCCACTTGGCGTTACACTGCAGGGACTGCGCCTGTACACCGTTACCTGACAAGGCCATTGTTTTGTATAAACACAGGGACCAAAAAGCTTGATTGTCGAAGCTCATAGAATAAAGGAGGAGGGGCCAGCCTGCGTGAGTCAGGCTTCCTTGAATTTGCTCGACAGTGAGGTCGAATGTTTAGATCGGGGATGACGCACATAGAATTGTGTAACAGATAGCACCCAATCTTGTGAGGCGCATGCGCATTTCCATCGTGATTGGAGAGTCGTGTTGTTGTACGTTTCCTTCGTGATTTCCTGATAATAAACTTTTCAGTTGTTAGTCAGCGCTCGTCCTGTCCAGTTCCTTCCTCTATCCCTGTAAAATTCGCGCTGTTTCATTATGAATACATACCAATTCGCCCAACTATCCTGTTTGACAATCACATAACTCAGATAATTTTTTTTTCGACGCACAGTGTCTCGGGAAGGCTGATCGCTTTTAATATAATTACAATGAAACTGATAATGATAAAATGACATCCCCTTTGAATGGTCACACAAAAATTTCTTTGTACAAAGATAAGCAAACAGCTTAAAAAGTGCTATTTGAATTTTTTTTTCATTCACGCTTGGTGTTTTGTTATACAATGAATACTTGGATTGTGAGTCGGATGTGGTTCCACATTTTGTGGATCTGGTTCGGATACGGGTACAAAGTATGCGGATGCGGGTTGGATACAATAATGTAAAAAGTTTGAGGATGCGGTTCGGATGCGGATCCAAAGTCTGCAGATGCAGATCGGATGCGCATAATCAAACTGTTATCCGAGCAGGGCTCTAGACATGGCATACACATTTGTGTATTCGACTTTGCAAATTTATTTACTCTTTAGATGTGGGCCTGTACCGCTGGAGACAGGTTGTACACGATCGTGTACACCTTATGGAGCGGGTTGGTGGCGCCATCTGCCGTGGCTGCCTTTAACTACAATTAATAACACCGTTGCAAGATGGATGCCTCCTTGTTCTACAGCGACGCGGGTGGCGAGTGGCTCCGAAAAACAAATCTTTGCTTAATTGGATGTTTTCTGACGAGACTTGCTGCATGCCTAAGCATTCCAAAGATGCTAATGAATGTAACACAGTAGCTTGAAATGTTAGGATGCAGTAATTGCTTCTCTAACGGATTAGTGAATTTCACAAACACATGTGTCAAAAATTGGACGTTTAGTGATTTATACAGTGTAAGGTCGGTCTGCCAGGATCAGGCGACACTGGTTTACACTGTAGATGAGCAATTTCGCCAGTGCAGTACGACTGCTAACCTGGGGTCTTTAACGTGCGCCACGCAGTAGTGATACACGACCGCACGCCGGTACGATGCTCATCCAGATCGAAACGGGCAGGGGTGGGGCTCGAACCCAGGATCCCTGGGTTCTGCAGCGCGATCTTTCGCTCCACGCGCGTCGAGCTGGGTATGCGCTTTAGCCCACTCGGCCACCGATCCCCCCACGTACAGCGTGCCGCTATGGCCACATTGTGCAAAAATGTGCTTCGAAGAAAACATTAGTGCTATAGTGCCGTTAGCATTCTTGCAAGGAGCTTTTCATTGGAAATTCATATATTCTAGTGACAATGTGTTGCTTCTTCCCAATTCAGACATCCGAAATCATGCGAGAAATCGCACGAGGGTCGGCAGTGCCACAGCACAGAGGTTGCTAATGCAAATTTCCGATGGAAATGCATCCGATGTCGGCCTCTCTGTTAAGGAGGACAGAGAGCCTCATCGATCTGCGAGTACAGGCGCTTTAAATATTTGGATGACTATGTTAACTGCTTAGCTAAGTTAAAGAGAATGCCTTTTGTCACTTAGGTCAACCCCCTGGAACACGAGGCAGGCCTTCAGGGCTGCAACAGCCGGCTCCTGCTCCAGAGGAAAATGATGAAGCGGAGGAAGCGCGTAATCAAAAGGTGCAGACTGTTTGGACAAGCAGCGATTTCGAGCCCCCTGACACAACATTGGATGACAACCACATGACTTTAGAGGAGGTGGCTGAGCCATGGGAATACTTTCGAAGGTATTTTCTGAACTCACCATTCGTATAGTTTGCGGGGTGCATGAACATTTACGGACTGCACACCTCGGGAAACAAATCTCGGAAACACTCCGGAGGATGTTAAAGCATTCTTCGGGATGATGATGATCATGGGGACGCCCAAGTTTCCCCGCATACGTATGTACTGGCAGCCGGCAACGCAGATCCCCAGCGTATCGGAGGCGATGGGGGTCAACAGATTTTTCAAGCTCCGGTCAGCTTTGCACGGCACGGAGACATCTTCGCCCCGGGCTCTAACTGATAAGTTTTGGAAGGTGCACCCCGTGCTGGATGCTGTCAGACAGAGGTATCTGGAACTTACTACATTCGAGAACAACAGCATTGATGAGCAGATGATCCCTTTCATAAGTAGAGTTGCGGCCAAGCGATTTCTGCAAAAACAAACCTAACCCTGGAGGTGTCAGTGTTTGTCCGCTGCAGCTCACATACTATGGCAAAGTGACTTCAAGCTGTATCAGGGAAAAGAAATGGGGAAATCGCTCGAGCACAAGCACCTCAAAATTGGTGGCTCCATTGTGATGAGGCTCATGAAACACTTGCCAAAGTTCAGGAACTTTAAGTGTTTCTTTGACAACTACTACACATTACTTCCACTACTCCGAGAACTCAATGCCGTCAGTATCTGGGCCGTCAGTGCTATCCGCGCATACAGGCTGCAGGGATGTGCACTGAAAAGTGAAAACGAAATAAGGCGAGAAGGACGATAGAGCCTCGATGCAAAAGGCGAGAGAAAGGGCGATGTAACCATCGTCAGATGGCAAGGCAAAAATTGTGAACGTTGCTACAGCATTTGTGGTCCACAACACACACCTCGTTGAGAGCCACTGCTATAGAGTAAGATTATACAACACGACTGACACGACTGTCTATCTCGAGAGCTTTGACTACATTTGTCTTCGGCTATGAGCGTGGCGGCAATATGGCAGGAAATGTGGGTAATCCTCTGCCACTGCTGTCAACACCAATATTCTCTCTCCTACAAACTCCCGTTCCGTCGTCCCAGGGTAGGAGACATTGTGCGGCAGCCTCAGCAGCTTCCCCACTAAGGGAAGTTGCACAGAATGTGCACTATGCTGCAAACGTTTGAACCAACAAATGGGCATGCGAAGTGGTTTGTGTTAAGCAAGCTTTTTCTGCATAGAATCTGCAAGAAACCAACCAAACATTCCAACTTTGTTCCACGTATCCATGAATTCAGTTTAAGTGTGTTCAGTTTCATGGGAGTTTGTTGTAATTGATTTTCACTAGCCAGAAGTATTGTACTTTCCTAACGTTCAACCATGGGATATATTTGCAGCAACCATAACTGCGAAAATAAACAAGAATGACAAAGCACTGCAGTCCATCATCGGAAGATGATTACCGGGATGGGAGGTCGGGCGACCGTCAAGGAAAGAGGGAGGGACGGCTCTCCCCTCCCCTCTTTCGTTCTTGACATTCCAAACAGAAAGGTGGCACCATCTCTCGTCCGGAGCACCAAACACGACCGAAAGTTATCTGCTAACCTTTTCGTCATTGCCCTCGGTGAAGATGTTCTAAATTTTTACAGGAACGAGTCAACTACACCGAGAGATTTCACAAGAATGTGTCTCCCTATACAATACACGTTCGATGAAAATGTGGGTATATGCAGGTGTCGATTTTTGCAGCGCATTTTGCATCAACGCCATGGCTCAATGCCACCCAATGACTCGAATTGTTTCGCTATTACTCTGCTTCACTTTATACAAGCAACTTCAAACTTTTCAGGTTATTTTTGTTGTGCATCTACCTCCCGCTTACCAGGTTTCCTTTAAAACACTAAAGCCAGCGTCAGTTATCAAAATATAAATTTATGACTTTTTTTTACTTTGGTTTCTCGGCTAGTCCCCATAACACAGGCTTACTTCAGAAACAAAAGAATAATTGCGCAGTACAATAACATAAAAAAATTAAATGCAAATGAAAGTTTCACGAAAGTATTCATTGGTTCTGAATTCGTAATTTGCATGCTAGATGTGCATGGTACAAAGCATAATGGATCCGTTTTTGTCCCTTGTACTTTTTGTATACACAGGTCTGACTAAATATCACAGTATGGGAACAGACCAATCACGAATCAAGGCGTTGTATGCCAGTCATGAGTCTGTTCTCCGTTGACAACATGGCAGCTCCTCCAGTGGCTCCTTGCTCAGAAGCACTCATCATCGAAATTGAGCGGTGTCCATGGCTATGGAACGCAAGCCGTATGGACTACAGGGACACTGGGAAGCGCAAAAATTCCTGGAAGGCAATTGGAATCGCTTAGTATGACCTCTTAACAGAACTATATAATTTGCGCCTCAACCCAGGGCACCTCTGGACGGCCTGCCTTCGTCGCACGCTTGTTGCCTTCTGTCTAACTTTCACTATGCATGAACGTTCCCGTTCACGGTCAGCTGCACGCGCCTGGGCGTACACTCGAAGCTCGCAAGACGCCAAAGTGTTATCAAAGATTTGTTTTGGGTCACGCCGGAGGCGATAGTGCCAATAGACTTCCCTGCCATTCGCAAAGAAACGTTTGCGAAGTTCTGCATGCCAAATCAAGGAAGGCCGTCGCATACCTCAGCGATTAATTTACATCACCTGGGATTCTTTGAACGTGAAACTGAAATCTCGGTTACCTGGCACCTTCTCTCCAGCTAGGATTCCAACCCACCAACTGGGGATTCGATTCTTTGGGCCGGCGGTTTGCCTCGGAGCCACAGATGCGGCCTCCCTGCAGCTGTCTGTGACCATTCACGTCCGAGTGGGCAGCGCACACCCACCCACAACCCACTGCTCGCACCTCTCGTTTGCGTACCTCGCATAACCATTTCCCAAAGTCATGGCACGAAATGGGAAGCCATTATTAATCGAGCGATCAGTAATGAAGAGATCAAACAGGCAGAACATAAAAAGACTACATTTCAGGATGCTGAAGGAGGTTTGTAAAGTTTGGGTTGAATACTGGCAAGCAAACCTGGTGCATGTCTGTTGCACCTATTGGCTGTCCTAATTGAAGTTGTGTTATAAATCTAGTTCCATCATGATTTCTGTTCTAAAACTTGTATTCATAAGCGATACTTTAGTTATTTATGCCACATTTACTTCATTCACTTCAGGCAGCGACTCTAACGCCTGCTGTCAGGCTTGGCTGGCCATGAGGGCCAAGTATGCGAGAGAATCGAAGAAACAAAGAGGCCGGAGCGGTGCTGGCCGCGATGGTCTTGCCGTGCCAACATGGCACCTCTTCAAGTAACTGGCCTTCCTTAAGGGCCAGATTCAGCACCGACGGTGATATGCTACATCACTTACTGCTAAGAACAAGCACAGTTGATATCGGGTCTGAGTTTAAAACATTTTTACTCTCTTCCATCAGCACCAAAGTGCTCCCTGTTGCGGGGGGAGTGGCGTCCACTTCTGCAGCGGCAGCAGACGTTGAAAAATGAGGCGTGAGCCCAGAGGCAAGTTTGCTTACACGGTAAGAAAATCTAGAACCGATTTGGGATCACCTGCTTTCTCCTACAGAGTCTTGTGGTAAAGTAAAATGAAGGTCAAGGACATTGTGAAAGAATGCCTGACTGTTGTTACGAAAGGAAGCATCTTGATTCCTCCCACACACTAAGCTAGATGCCATGTTGACAGATGTTTGCCCCACGTTATTCTATGTGCGGAGGAAGTGTTCTCGAGGTCACTTGATTTCTTTCGCGTCAAGATTTACCTCATGTGCTCGAGCCATCGGCGACAAAAAAGAATAGCGTCTGAAACTCACTTTTTATTTCATTTTCGTAGCTACCGGTCTTTATTCGGAGTGCAGACAAGCTGGCTAAGTTGACGTCAACCAGTTGGTGGCCAAAATTACCTTCAGGGCTCCTATTTTGGTCATGGGTGAGAGCGAGATCATTCTCGGCTGTTGACTATTATCGTTTATTATCAACTAACGAAACAAAATTAAATCCGTTTTGCAGTCTACGGTCAGGCAATATTTCAGTGACAACTTCTTGCCAACACACAAATGAGAAGAGAGGTGGCTTCTGACGTGCCTGTCCCATATCGCCCATCTACTGGTCAATATTGGGATTTGTATGGCTGCAAAACAATTTGAGATTTGCTAAGGAACCACAAGTTTGGCAATTGCTTCCAATGTCGAATTGCAAACGGTAGTTTCAGCCAGGAACGGATTCAGAGGGGAGGTCCGGATGTCCTGACCCCCCTCTTGATTTCTGCATGTGTAAAAATTTAGGGCGTGTGCATGTGTAAAACTTTCCCTTACCGCCTTATCTTTATGTTTTCTAATAACAGTGCACAAATTAAATTCAGGTTTGCACCCACAGTCAAGGCAGTGCATTGACAAATGATCGTCAAGCTGTCCGCTCACTTTTTGGTTGTGTTCGCGCAATCTGTCATTTAGACATCTTCCCGTCTGTCCCACATACTTTTTACCGCACGTCAGCGAGATCTGATAGACGACTCTCGCTGCGCATTCTACAAACAAGCTGCGATGCTTCTTCACGCAGCCAACCGGTGGTTTGCGGTGAGGGTCCGTCATTTTGCACAACTTGGCAAGTTTTTCCGGTGCAGAAAGAACCACCCGAGCATTTACGTGGTTTGCTATCTTTTTGATATTGCGTGCGGTTTTGTGCATGTAAGGCACAACCGCCAGACTTTGTTTCTTTTGAGCCACATCTTGGTCTGGACTCGCTACTACTCGTAGCTTCTTTACAACTTTTTCTGCAGCCGACACCAGGAGCGTCCCTGGAAAACCGGCAGCCACCAAGCGTTCTGACTGCTCCTTCAGACTTTAAGGCATTGCATGATGACACAACCTTCTGATGGAGTTCACAAAGCACAAATTTACAATTCCTCTCTTAACAAGTTTCAAATGAGATGAATTGAACGGCAACAGGGGCTTATCTGCTCTTGGTTGGTATTTCCAACACACGTGTTGTTCCAAAAGTGTGAGCCTGATATCTAGAAACTGTATGACGTTGTCCACAAGTACCTCGTGCGTAAGCTTGAGAGGATCAAGGATGGTACTAAAAACTGTTAAAAGGCTGTTCACCACCAAGGAAAAGTGAGAAACATCATGGTGAAGAAAAACTAAATAATTGTCGACGAATCTAAAAACCTTGCTACCATTAAAGTCATTCAGGCATTCCGAGAGAACTCTGTCATGATGGGCTAAAAATATATCACGTAAAACTGGAGCTAAACACTAGCAAATACACACCCCTCGCTTCTGAATATACACTCCCCTGTTCCACTCAACAAAGGTCGAGTTTAGATCAAATGTAAGCAATTCGAGAAAGTCATCTACAGTCATTCCTGCTGCGTTCTGAAAGGCCACCACCCCGTGTTTATCGATGCTTTCCTCTACGCAGGTCAGTAGTTTGTCGTGCGGAAGGGAATAGTATAAATTCTTTATGTCTAGTGAGCAGGCTAGAAAACGTGACGGTCATTTGTCGATGCACTTCCATGACTGTGGGTGCAAACCTGAATTTAATTTGTGCACTGTTATTAGAAAACAGAGATAATACAGTAAGCAAAATTATAGAGGCAGACCTGATAAAAAAACTACGGAGATCGATGTGTCAGCGTGGCGTCGATCGATTTGGGCGACAAAGAGACACAGTTCTTGAGATCAGTGGCGTGGCATGGGATTGGTTGAAGGGCGCGATGATGCAGAGTATTTATACCCTTGATTTTCTAACGAACCAGTTGAAGTTGGTGCATTGTGTTGTCTCATTCCACAAATTACAAATGGGACCTAGTTAATAAACAGTCCTGTAATTCTTTACTACAGACTATCCAGAAAAGCGGTTGCATTGTGTGACCCTCGTGCGTGAATAGAAATGTGTTTTACACATATCTATTTGTTTCGGCCACAATTACGTTAAAGGACACATGCAAAGGAAAAAAAAACATTTTTTTTAAACGGCTTAGATGGAAAAAGGACGCCATAAAACGATTTTACAACGAAGAAAAAAAATTTTTAGAGCTATATTTACGGCGCAAAACGAATTTGTAGTTGGCGCCCGCGGGCACCGCGGAAAAGTGGTCTGTATTTATCACGTGACTGGTCTTTATTTATCACGTGGTGCTTGCGCTCTTTCGGAACCTTCCTATGGCCTCTAAAAGTAACTTATTCATCTTTGTTTGAAGTATAACAAAAAACCAAGACGAATAAGTAACTTTTAGAGCCCAAAGGAAACTCCTGAAAAAGTGCAAGCAGACGTGATAGACCTGTGCGCCGGTCAGACGACGGCGGCGGCGCCCCGAAGCAGACGAACTTGTGCGGCGGCGGCGACGGCGGCGTGGAGAAACGCGTTGAAGCGGCGTTCGCACAACGCTCAGCGTGCGGCGGCGACGCAGCGCGGCGGCGCGCGGGCCTACCACGTGACCAGCGGCGGCTCCCGCGAGCGCCAACTACAAATTCGTATAGCGCCGTAAATATAGCTCTAAAAATTTTGTTTCTTCGTTGTAAAATCGTTTTATGACATCCTTTTTCCATCTAAGCTGTCTAAAAAAATTTTTTTTTTCCCTTTGCATGTGTCCTTTAATGGCTCAGGTATTTTTTATATTCTTTTGCAAAAAATAGTGCTTTGAAGCAAGCATAACTTTTATACATTTTGACTCAAGACTGGGAAGGGATGGAAAAACACAAGGTCTTGTGTTTGTCCATCCATTCTCTTCCCAGTCTCGAGATTTTTACCGTAGAATACCATGCATCCGCCCATTTCACATTAAGCGCCCATTACCGAATTTGCAAGATCTGAGAAAATATGCGCACATTTATATGTAAAATTGATGACTGGACAAGCACTCATCCACCATTTTTTTGCGATTATCTCCAAAATTTGATTGGGCGCTTGCCCGGTATTTTACGGTAGTCAAAATGTTAAACCAACACCAGCTCGTTTGCACCCTTACCTTTTGTTCAATAACTTTTATTGTGTATTAATTATAAACATGGAAGTTCCGTTATGAACCCTGTTTTGACAGATTTTTAGAAAACTAATTCATACGCTCCTAAACCATAGTATGCATTTTGGAGGGATGTGGCCATGAAGTAATTGAACGTGTCTTTATATTATTAAAGTCGTAACCAATGACGCTATTTAGTCGCTGCTGAAGGTTTTTTGGATAGTTGTATTACACTCAACACAAACAGGCTCATTTTGTTCGTAGGCCACTAATTCGCTGTTGGAAATTATAGTATTAAAAAACTTAAATATGCCAATCTGCACCGATGACTTTTTGCAGCATGCTATGCGATATTCAGTTACAATATTTTGGAGTACTTACAGTTTTATGTCGTCACCCATATCCTTTTCCAGTTTCATACTAGTTGCGACTTCACAAAAGTGAAGTCAAAGAAAAATTGCACTTTTGAATGTTGTTTAAATTTTACTAGCGCATGAGTGGAAGGCAGTAAAAGAGTTACAATGATATACGTAAAACTCTCCCATTACCTCGCAACTTTTCGCTTTCCCCCGTTAGTCGGGCCACTAACAACCGAGTACACTTTTTTGACACTCACCTGCCGGGTTCTGACTCATGAGCCCTACTTCGTTTGGACGGGGCCGTACTTGAATCACAACTCTGAATTCGTGTCAAATAAAACTATTATTATTATGTCCGTGCCTGCCGACAATATCGAGGAACTCGCCAATTCTGCAGTGTTGCCAAAACCTTGCCTCAAAGCTTTAAGAGGCAGCCAAAGGAACGACCTCCTGCACGTCTCGGAAGGAGCCCCCATGTCCAGTGAAAAGAGATGGGTCACGTCGATTTATTTTATCAGAACATCCGTGGCTAACGTACAAAAATTGAACGCTTTTGTACGGACGTGGAGTCCGGCGCCGCAATTGGCGGCAACATCCCGCAGAGCCCTCGAGCTCCGAATCACTACAGCTGCCGACTCCAGTCCCTGGCACATGGACGACGGCGACACAGCGACACAGGACCAGCTTTGGAGCCGCTGGTGCATTGGCGGCAAAGTGATAGCCTCCTCCTTGGCTACACCACTGGATGCAAGGGAGGTGGCACGTGCACCTACCATAATGACGAGATGTTTCAGTGACATACTCTTAAGTTGCGATCACACTGCTAATCTTGATTGGTCAAGAGACGGTCTTCAGGGACACTGTCTGAGGCTTTTCCTTCCATGATGGTCATATTGGTCACTCCAAGAACTGACTGCAGACATGTTCGAAGCCCACACATTTATCGAACGAACATCCTTCGAAGATGCTCGAGACGTTTCCGCAGGTACTTCCGTAGTGAACATTGCGCTTTTGTAGGATGCACGAACAGGTCGACTTTGCGATTCCAACCCGTAAAGTCAATGCTGTTTATTCCTTCGTAACGTTTGATTGTAATTATTGTCATTTGTTCGTACCATCCTGATGAGGTTCCCGGTTTCAAGCTTGGAGGTGATCGAATGTCACAGAATGTGGAAGGCCATCCGCAACCGCTATGTTAAGAGACGAGAGCGGCGAAAGGCAAGAGTAAAGCTGGCGAGGAGGATGTCCAGCCTCCCACGTGGGTTCTTTTCAAGTTCCTGGGGTTCCCCGATGGTCAAATCTGTGCAGATGGTAGGCACAGAATGTTTTGGACAACAAAGGGCACTGCAGATTGTGCCGTATTTTGTATGCATTGTAACGATGACGTGGCAGAACCCTGGTTTGTCCCAAGACAAAAGGAGCCTCACACAACACCATGTCTACAAACTGGAGTGAAGGAGCCCCCACTTCCGTGCCAGGAGGCAGGTGTTCATAAAGAGTGCAGCTTTCCAGACAGACTCTAATGCCCGAGTCACGGCAAAGCGACTAACGGAAACAACCGACACCGTCGCGCCTCAAACACGAGCACCATGCACGCGAGGGTATCTTTGGCCGGCTTGCGATGACCCGTGCTTACTTTGAGAGCACCGGACAACTAAATGACTGCCAAAGGTATCGCTTGTCGCTGTTGTTTATTTTTGTTTGTCACTCTAACGGGACTTAGGCATGATGAGCTGAAAGCTATTTCAAATTTTCTACCTACGAGAAATATTGCACAAAACTGCATAGCTTTTATTCTGTCACTTGGTGTTTTTCTCAATATGCAGAGATCCTTGCGGAAATGTATTGCCCTGGAGAGACCGCAACCCCCGCAGAAAATAGACAGCCTGGGATGCCTGCTGATGCCGAGATGGAAGACATACTGGAGCATGAAGACATACATTTTATTTAACAACAGCCTTCGATAAGCATGTTTGCAAGTGGCTCCTGTGTAATTACCCTTTTCTCACTCTCCTCTTTCATTTAAGCGATTGGCTATTCTTGGAGGCAGGTCCAAAGATTCGCCGGTTTGTCATGTCCTTTATAATTAGGATTCCATATTTTTTCGGGTTTATCGGAGCACCGGTAAACCCTGCAAAATTGACCTGCGGTCCAGTTCTGTCAGTGTCGCAGAAAACCGAAAACCCCCAAATCGGAGCAGTTTTTGAATGAAGAATCCTAAGCTTCACTCAAAGAAATAGTTCTGTGCTGCTTTATTTTACGGTGTTAGAACACACTCCCCAATTAACTGTTTACGTCCCTGGTATCTTTGGAACACCCCTTATCTAGTTCCTTTTTTTTTTTATTGGTACGGAATGTTTCCGAGGTATTCGGGTCCCATGCATTTCCCCAGAGGTTGGGGCAATCCATGCCGATGTGTCGTTCCCCAAACATAAGCCCCAACAAGCAGCCATATTTTGTCTGACACCCAAGATTAACACCAGAAAATTTGGAACAATTTGTGGGAAAAGAAAGACCCTAGAAAACTCTGATGTGAAAACAAAAAAGCCCCCTAAAAAAGGAATTCTATTTATAGTGACGCAGTCTCCAGCAATATGCTAAACACACTCCGAGCGCACTGGAAAGACAGAGGCTAGGATACTCTCACTTAAGGAAATTCTATGGTGCCCAGAAGTGATAAATCTCTTCAGCCCTAGTGCACTGATTCAACTAGTTTCATTATCGCATTTCATTCTATGTGGAACAATGTGAAGCTGTCCACAAGGCATGTTGCACCCCTGCCAGTCACTGTCTTGGCCACGTGTTTCCAATGGGCCCCTCATATCGCTGAAGACTGTCCATTCTACAATACCCGGAGTTTCTAGAGCTGTGATGCTGCCTCTGCCCTTTCTTATTGCTACTGTCAAGTGAACCGAGCAATCGACGCTTCGGCTCAAAGTTCAGATTTTTGTTTTTTAATGTTTTTGCAATCTGTATGCCTTCTAGTTTCATATAAAAAAGAATTGTTACAAAATTCGGCCTAGAAGTTACAAAAAAAACAGAAAAACTTGAACGCCTCAAGCGCTGTTTACACTCTTGCGACCGAGAGAGACCAGACCGGTTTTTAAGCCTTTTGCGACTTCTTAGGACCGGATGCGATGCAGCGGAGCTGGTCCTAAGAGATTGCAAGAGGCTTGAAAACCGGTCTGGTCTCTCTCGGTCTTACTCGGTCGCAAGAGTGTGAACGGGCCTTTACCGCGACTCACAAAAATGGAGAAGTTTGTCACTTACGAGGTTTTTCGAGCTCGCGTCTCTCCCAAAGTTTGCGTCAGCCATTGTTGCCGTCACTTCGACCAGGAGGAATAAGCCTTCATTTCCGTTGACTCCTACCACAGTTTCGTACTAGCGGTAGAAATAATAATAAAAAAAACATTTTCCCGCGTCCCGACAAGCCTTCAGGAACTACGGGACATAAATGTGGTACTGCTATTTGCTAACACCCTAACGAACCATGCAGTGAAGCTAGCGCATCTTTGCCAATTGTATCGCGTCGCACGCTATCTGAAACGAGAACTATGGTTTCTGCGACTATTGAGCGTTTTTCACGATCGATGGCGACGAGAAAGGCCACCTTCGACTCCGGAAGAGTCGGCCACTGCGCCCGTTCAAGGGAAGGCGAAAGCAAACGCACAAAAGGGACAAATGCGATGGACCCACCCAGGGACCTACCGCTCGAGCAGAATGGCGACGCGCCCAACGCGCCTTCGAGCACCGCAAGCGCCGAGCAACAGAGCGCTTCGGAGTTCCTCAACGACTTGTCGTACTCCGAAAGTGCTTCGGGAAAGAAGCAGATGACATTTTGCAATGAAACCATTGAGAAAGGAAGCGGCGGAAACGCCGTTATCTGCGAAAGTCAAACCCTTACGCAACTTGTGAGCGGCGCGACGTGGGGGACATGCGGCAAGAGCAAAATTTCCGTTGTGGAAGTTGAAAACAAACGCAACGGCCTTGCATCTTTGCTGGAACTCAAATGCACGAGCGTTGCATGCCCTCCCGAAGTTCTTTCAGCTGCATATAAACCACATCGTGCGACCGCCGCCGGCCGTGAAATGCGCGACCCTAAACAAAGCAGTGGAAGCGCCCACGACACCTTTGCATTCAACATGAAAGTAGTGTCAGTCACGACCAGCTGGTTAGATTTTGTGGCATCCTCGGTCTCCCCAAACCGCTCCATCAAGAAACGTTCCACAACATCTCGAAAAAAGTCCACGCTGCTGCCACCAAAGCCGTCTCTGACAACCTTGCAGAAGCAAGGCGAGCAACTGCGTCTGAAGCGGGTCAGAGCGACATCGCCGTGATGTTTGACGGGACGTGGCAGAAACGGGGACATAAGAGCCACAATGGCATTGGCACTGCCATTTCTGTGGACACAGGCCTCTGCCTGGATTTCGAGGTGCTGTAGGACTACTGCCAGGGCTGCAGTGTGGCAGGCATTTCATTCTCTTGTGTGCGAGAAGAACGTAGACTGCTCATCACATGCAATAAAAACTGCAGCACCTCTACGTATCTGGAATAGGACACAGACATACAACACGGACTTGCAGTTTACAACATCCCTCAGCGACGGAGACAGCAATGCGTACGCGGTAGTGTCAAATGCAGAGGTGTATGGGTCTACTGCGGTGACGAAGGAGGACTGTATGAACCATGTTGCCAAGCGTCTTGGAACAGCCCTGAGGAAGCTAAAGACGCCTCTACCACGTGGGGAGAAGCTTGGCGACAAGACCATTCTACAGCTGCAGCAGTACTACCAAAGTGCCATCACCAGCAACCGAGGGAGTGTGCGAGGGATGTACTGTGCAATCTGGGCATCCTTTTTTCCCTCATGCTCGACTGACAGAGCCAGCAGCCACAAGTTCTGCCATGAAGGGGAGGAGTCTTGGTGCAAGCATAAGAGGGCAATAGCTCTGCAACCACCAGCTCCGGCCCACACACCCTTCCTCACCAAAGCACAAGGGAAGGCAGTGCTTTCCATTTACCAGTGGTTGACAGACATCAAGCTCCTTGCTCGCTGTCCGCAGGGAAGATGAAGAATGCTACTGAGTCCTTGAACACCGAGATTTGGATGCTGTGCCCTAAGACCCACTTTGCTGCACGGACTACGGTGGAGACTGCCACCGCCATTGCTGCGCTATGGTTCGATAGGGGCCACTCCAGCCTTGAGCAAGTTCTGGAAGGGCTAGGAGTCCTCCCTTCCAAGCAGCTGGTCCGTCTGAGCAGTGCAGCTGACTAGAAGAGGGGAACAAGCCTGTCTCCGAAGCTGACCGCTGAAGCGAGATCCCATCGACGCCATCAGGAGAAGCATGCTCGTGCAAAGGACTCTAAGCACAAAGACCGTGAGGGCGCTACCTATGCTGCGGGAGAATTTTAGTCTGGGGATCCAACGATAGACATTTTGGACTATGTCAGCCTCAAGTTTCGTGCAGTTGGAGTGGCAAGTTTGGTATCTAGCATAACAATAGACTTTGAAATGTGTTTTTCATTTCATTTATTTCTCCTTAAGGGCCCTGTGGGGCAATACATAAGGGGGGGAAGCTTGTGGGGTAATACAAAACATATAAACATATAAACATATAACATATTCTCTACAGTGTTTTTGCCCGTTTCCTCTAGTTGTCAAATCACAATGAAATTTTACACAGGTGTTTCTAAGGCTGCACAGAGTGTGCAAATCTTGTTAGTTATAACGTAAGTACAACAACTTTTCGTTTTTAAATACTAAACAAAAAGTGAAATTTTAAAAATACTGACAAACTTTTCTAAATTTTATATAAAAAAATATTTTAGGTATTGCTGATTCAAATAGATATTCACACTAGTTATTGGGGAACCAACCTGACTATTTAGGCTGCTTTACCTTTATAATTAGCAGGAAACATTGTGTGCACAATACTGGTACTTTTTATGCATGTCATGCAGCACAGATATTGAACCAGAACAGCTATCAGCGAACGGATTGCGTGAATGAAAAGAGGAGCCCGATTTCTACTAGCTGGGCATATTTCACCCCCTAACCCCAATATTTAATAAAAAAAAAAAGTATTCCTGAAAAGCATATCTTTTTTTTTTTTTTTTTGCTGTGTGGAAGTTCCACACAAGCGAGTTATGTAGCAGTTTGCATTCCCGTTTCTGCGTTCTGTTCAAGCGATTTCCCCTGCAGGATTTAGGTGACCTCGAACCATCGGCAGCATGCTTGGCGCTGCTGGAACTGGAGGAGAGCGGCCAGTTGCCCACACCGGAGCAATTGGTACCACCAGGCACATCAGCCTCTCAAGGAGCGTCACCAACAGATGCTAATCCTATGCATAGAAATGGAGGTGTAGGGCAGAGGGTGTTGACGTCACAGCAGTCGAGGCCCCCTCCTGCCAAACGAGACTGTTTGAGGGCTCGACAAACTCGTACACGAGAGGAGTTTGCAGGATCCCACAGGATAAAGGCAAACACGTGCACAAGGCCACACATGGACATTAGCAGACCTAACATTGCTTTTGCAGCGAGTCTTGGCAATGCCCTTCACATGCTTCTACCCCGCCTGCAAATCGTTGCGGAAGTGCAGTTTTATGAAACACTCCTTGAGCTTCAGGATAGCTTAAATGACGGTTGAAAGAACATCTTTTTTTATATATATAATGAAGATAACATTGTTGCATAATGTCGAGCATGGCGACAATTTATTACTGCATTTATTTGAAAAACAAGGTGTCCTTGAAAGAAATTTAGCTTTTTTTGTTTACCACTGGGACATATGCATCCCACTTGTAGTGATAAATCTGGCATCTCCCTGAGCAGTCGCTCGGACATGCTTATCCCAATTTTACAACTTGCGCCATCTCTTGGAAGCATTAGGAAGCTCTACATTTTAGTTTGAGTCGCTGCAGATAGATTGGGCTGCGTACTTTCCACGTTTTTTGTGCCTCACCGTATCTGTTTACCATAGCTGAACCAAGTAATTTTTACATGGCTCTGCCCTCAAAAACAAAATGCCTGGCGAGTACAAACTGTGCAACTTGCACCCGGT